TTTATTCAAATTTATTATTTTTTTAACTGGAAAAAAATATACAAAACTTCATAAAATATATAGTATGAACTGTAAACAATAAAATATGAATAAAATCGTTACAAAAATATTCAAATAAATAAATCTATCTATTTTTAATCAAAACTTTGAACCAACATTTGCGAATAGTACGCAATTCTAAAACTTTATTTCAAACTTGCCCGAGACTTTTCATTTATTCACAAAGTTTCTGTTAACACCAACTATATATATAAGCTATGCGTACCTATAGTGTAATTATGTAGCCCCGGGGACTTACCACCTTCAAACCAGTTTTGACCGGACCTCTGAAGGACGATGAATAATCTAGAAATATGTAACTATAATTAATATCCCATAAATTGTTATCACCTGCAGTCTTGATAACAATTCTCATGTATCAGGCAATGCCTCTTCAAATCTATAGCCTAACATATACTATAGGTAATTCAATATAAATATTACAATTCAAAATTATTCAAATTTAATTATAAGTCTCTAGAAGTTTTTAGTTTTTACACATGGCTCTCTAATAAAAATATTTAACTCCCATGGTAATTGTAATTATTTCCATCACAAACGTTTTTGACACAATTCGTCGCTATTATATTGTTACTCAAGATTATCGATCGATCCTCTGATTACGTTTGTTTATCCAAAGCGTCACCAAGAAATGTAATCATTATATTATATGCATATTTAATAAATATACAGGTATTTACGTATAGTTTATATTACTCTAGAGCTTTCCGGTAATAAAACGAGTGAGTTTATTATAATTCCAAAACGGTGGTTATGATTTTGTGAATTTGGATTCAAAGACTTATCCGTAACCTGCAACCGTATAATATATGAAAACGTGTACAGCGTACCTACCTCATAAGTCATAACATAAGGATATAGGTTCATTACCTGTACATGTTAATTGCTAAATAAGTAATTACATAATATATTGAAATGTGCCCTAGCTACAATAAATACTTGTATATATATACTGTCATTACGATATACATAATATTAAATATACTTACTACGTATCAATAGGTATTATACATTTTATATTTTTTCATACGTTCAATTCGGGTAACTAATAAATAATTATATTTATCGTCTGCTTTGAATATTTATCATCCAGTATGATAATGTATTATTATCATTAACACGATTCGTTAATACTTTTTCCATTTGAAAATTATGTATACGACTAATTAAATTTCATTTTTTACTTGTCGAACGTTTTTCAAAAATGTTGATTTTAGCTGTACGCATATAAGTTTTATATATATTATAATATCTTAGATTACGGATAGCCTTCTATGCATTGCGAAGTATTTTATAAATGTGGTCGTCGCCAGACATTGTTCCTGGTATACCAAATTTAAATGCAAACAGAATACCATAATTATCATTGTCGAACAAGATTCAATAATATTAATACGCGTTAGTGAATAGAATACAATTTAATTACATCGTAGTAAATACACAAAATGGGTGTGCATATACGTAATATTACGTATTATAAATAAAATAGATGCGTATAAATTAGAGAATGTTGAAAATAACAGTAAATTGGCAAATTTAACTTTTAATTAATGAGTCGGTGCCTCGGTGGTTGAACCCCACAACCGGGCCCCTGACTGATAACGTTAAAATAAATTACAATTTATAAAGGGATTAAGTGAGTGGTATTTTTACTCGATGTGTTGGAATAATTCCACCATGATCAGGTACAATGCTAATACCAAAAACATTAATTTGTACGCAGATGTAAGTATATACTGTATTTGTCTTGTGTACTTCTTAATTTCGGTGTACAATAGTGCAATATATTATAAATAACTATACGATATACTATGACTCTGGTTGCTATGACAGTAATACCGAAATTAAAATCGTTGATATGACAATAACAATGACGACAACAACATCAACAACAATAAACCCTTTCAAATAGTAATATTAATCATTTGCGAATTTAAATTCATTGAATGTTCTAACATATGAATTCCACTTTCTATATAAATTTAAAATATCGAGATTATTATAATATTAATGTTACACGATATTTTTAAGAGATTTTAATCAGTTATAATGATAATAATAATAATAATAATAATATATTTTATAAATTAATGAAATTGAGAACTTGTCCTCATTTCATTAGTAGGCTACTTCTTATATTTTATATTCCGAAAAAAAAAAAATTTAATTGTCTTTGAAATAAACTAGATTACAATTTACTAGATGGTAAACTAAATGAACCGCATTTTTAGACGAGTTTCAGCGTGCTCAGTGGGACTCATTTTATTGAAATAAATTTTAATTTTTTTTTTCAATTTCAATGGACTCGTCCTTGTGTTCTTTGTATAGTATCATTTTTTTTTGCAAATATAACTTTTTTGTATATATTATTTATTATACCTTAAAGTAAGTACAGGAATTAATGAAACTGGTAGTAGGCGAAATCCATTAATATAACATATTTCAGGGAGTTCTGTAATGTTCACGTTGACGACCATGAAATCTCAATGATTTTTGTTTTCACTAACGAGGTTATTTTTTGTGGTTTATTTGAAAAAAGAACATTAATTTCCACCTTTTGCCCTTTTGGAGAATACATAATCATTAATTTGTTTTAAAGCAGGCCATAAAACATCATTATTGATCTTATGTCATGATCTTGAGGATTATTTAAATATATAACCAAGTAATTGTAAATAACTGTTCATGATATAAAAATACAAAATATAATATTTTCTCGGTAAATTTTCAAAATAAAAATTTTTAAATGTGGATTTTAAGAATATGTCACTCAGTTAGTTTCTAGGTCGTGAAATAGTGTGTTACTATTGAAACTATTCTAAGACATGAGATAAAGTCATGTCAAAAAAAAATTTAATTTATATGAAATTGTACATTCGACATGAATTTAAATATTGAATTTTAAAGTTTTTATGATTTATTTTTATATTTATAATTAAACTTATTTAATTCATAAAACTGATTGGAAATATTATTTAAGTATAAAAATTAACAAATTTTAAAATTTTAACTATAATGACTCTTAAAATGTAAAGAAGATTCGCTTTTCAAAGCACTGACAGTATGAGACCAAATTACACATATATCTAATTTTATATTTCTTTATATTTTGTGGATTTTCAAATTCGGGATTCTTGGCAAAACAGACTTAGTGAAAACACCTCTCAACAGTCAACGTGGTAAATACCTAGGATAGCAATTAAAAAAAAAAAAAAATCAAAGGGTAAATCATATTAAGACATGAAAAATATTTTGGAAGCATTGTTGAAATAAAAGGGCTAGAAATATTAGGTTTATGATAATTTGTGTATATTATTTAGAAAGAGGTAAATTGAGTTTTGTAGGAAAAAAATAGTGAGTAATTTGGGTTTCGTTCCTGTCTTTTATTAATATATATGTACATATATAACCATTATTATTATATTTATATCTATAACTGGAAAGTACACAAAGCTAATTATTTAGATTAGTTAATTTAGGTTTGATTTAATTATAATGATACATGTTGTTTTTTTTTTTAAATTAATAATTTATATTACAAATATAAAATATACCTATTATTTATTTGACTCCTAATAAAGATTATTAGATATTAAAACAAATATGTATTTTTCCAGGTGGTACTTGATTTACTTACAATATTTTTTTCTGAGTCTTAACTTATCTTCTATTTTTTTCCGGAACTCAATTAACCGAGAAAAGGTTATTTGAGATTCAATTTACCAGTCTTAAAAATATTTATAATGTATAACCTCCAAGTTTTTTTACTGTAGTATAATCACTGTTTACACAGAAAAAAAAAATGGAGCATATTAAATAAAAAAAAAATCTGGATATTTAACATTTGCCCAACCTGAATTGCATTAGAACAGGCTAGTGGTTTGTATTAAAACTAAAAAAAAAAAAAAAAACAAACAATAATTTAATATCATTGCGTTTAAAAGTCAGTTCTAAGCTCACTAAAAATGTTACAACGGTTTTGAAGGTTGACAGTAGTTATTCCACTGATATAATTTGAGAAACCCATAATAAAATAAAATAAAACAGTTCTTTAATAAATGACTTAATCTCAATTTCCGAATGTAATTATACTCATCTCGTATAATTGAGTTATTAAATTGTCTTTTTGGTAGTGACTGATCAATAGGTTATAAGTAAGTTTAATCACCAACGTCTCGAACTTGTATTAAAATGTTTACTTTAAATATAATTTAATAAATAATTTTATCATAAATACTTTTTATTTATTTATGTTACATAAAAATGAACTTATAAATAGTTAAAAAATCATGATCCTCGTGGGAATTTTTAATTTTATATTATATTAGCTAGGTATACATAACATATAACAAGAGCCAGTAGATTTATGCCATGAACTCGTCTGTAATGCAATGCAGAAAGTAGAGGTTCTATTACACAGCTGCTTAAAGAACATTTGGGCTGTAATCGAGTAATAAGTTATATTATTATAAAAACTCTATTATAACTTTAACATTTATTAGATATAGGAGGTAGTGCATCAAGCGTTGTCGCTCGACAAACCATTATGTCTAACCGACTAACCGATTTTTTTTTTTATTCAACGTGATTTCTGAACATTTTTGACTGAATCGGCTGGAAATAACTTAAACGCTAAATAATGTGAATTTATACGATAAATACTTTAAAGGCTTATTACATTTGATAAAAATATATTTTTACCTGTCTGACTAGAGAGACTGATTAAATGTTACATAATAATACATTTTCGAGTATCCCGTTATCGGCAAAAGTCACTTACCGGCATTGTTTTTCTTACGTATATTATAAAACATATTATTATATATCGCATTTATTCTCAACATGAAAGCATTTTTTTCGAAATTTTAAGAAGTACTATTGAGTAGAGTACTAATGAAAAAAAACACTTTGACTAATTTGTTTATTGTGCTTGTTTACAGGGTCAACAACCACAAGCCGAAGACGAAAATACTCCACAAAAACGAGTAGACAAAATATTCGATCAAATGGATAAAAATCACGATGACAAACTTACGCTGGAAGAGTTCAGGGAGGGCAGCAAGGCAGATCCAAGAATCGTGCAAGCACTTTCACTTGGGGGAGATCACAACAATGCCGCAGCTCCCCAAGCAGCCACCACATAAGTCTGTCGGATGAGAGTTCTTTTTTTTCTACATATTGACTTTGTTACTTATATTTTTGTGTCTAATTTTTTGACCTCTTTACATTACATAATAACTAAGTTGTGACTTTTCTTATAAAATACTTAAACATTTTTATAAATTCGTATGTAAATTAATATACCTACTCTAAATTTAGTTATACTTTATAGTGATAAAACATAAGGTTATATTTCATTCATATTAGTGGTTATACGTACAGTATAATAATATATTATAGTATTTACGTATACATGATATATTTTGTATTATAAGTATTATGCTTTTATACCTATATAAATACATATATAATACATAATATGCATACAGATAATTCAATTTTCTTAATTTTTGTGTGAAAAATAAATCTATGTATTTTTAAGCACTATTATATAGTTATAAATATATATATATATATTCTATATATTCAACCAATCTGTGCACAATTATTTTAAACCCATTAATCTTTGTAATTTCATCATATATTTGTTTTATTACCTATAAAATCACGGTTTTATTTTTATTAAAGTAGTTTGTATTTAAAGAAAGATCTATTTCAAATTACTTGGTAGATAACATTTACATTTTTCTAGTCGTTAAACTACTAAATTAATTCGTTTACAATATGAATTTTACTTTAAACCGATATTGTAAATCGCTCAATGTATGTTTTGTTTTTAGTTAAACTCCCGGAAGTTTTTTTTTCGCGTTAAAAAAAGTTATATTGAAGTTTCGCTTAAGAAATATTTTTATAAAAATTAAATATTACAAAACCATTTTTAATTGTAATAGTTTTCTCATGTATAAATTTAAATTGGGAAATTTATATTTTAGGTTTTTAGTAGTTTTACTTACAAATAATGTGTTTATTTTTAAAAATACAATAAACTCATATACTTCTATAGAATGGAAATCAAACACGGATTGCACTAAGAAACGTAATTTATAACCGTAGAAAACTATTAAAGTACTGCAATTAAATATATTAAACTTAATATTGCCCATTTTTGGGTAAACCATATCCCACCTATAACTATTTCAATAATTGTTTGCGTCTTTTTTTTTTTTTTTATTTTTTTTTTTTATTTAACAACGAAATTTATTATCTGCACATAAAATGATCAATAGTAATATTTTATCAATAATTTTATTTTAACATGCATGATTGACATAATTAAAGAAGTCATACAGTAGTGGTACTTCAAAGTCTACCATAGTAATAAACAATTTTTGTATGTTTGTTTAAATCATATTACATGGTTACTTAAATACTAAAAATTCGGTAATAAATACCTATAGATAATTGTTATGTATATTATTATTAAATGTATAAGATTTTTTTTCATCCTTTTAGCATCTATCTATTGATATTATTTTCTTGTGTTTTTATTGTAAATATTCATTTATTGTTATGCTTTTGGTCCTGAAGATAATGCATTATATACTATATATTATTGTCTTCAACTTTATATTATCAGCTTGAAAAATAAAATATTGTTTTGTTTGGATTAAGCGTAATATTATTATACACAATAATATTTATTATTCCTAATTTAAATCTAAATTGAAATTTAGATATTCTTATTGCTGCTCCTTATTAGTTATTTTTACTCTCATACAGAATAACTAAACAGAATTAGAATTCAAAAACCATATGAAATATATTGATTTTCATTGAGAAATTATGTAATATATTAAACAGTTAAAAAAAAAAAAAAAAACTATTAAATAAAATATCTTAGGTTAGGCGATGAAATAAAAACATAAAACGGATTTCAAACCCTATCAATGCTATTTTACGCCAGTTGAAATATAGTAAGACAAAACCTGTTTGCCTCATATCCTTGAAAAATTCTTTATATCGATCGCTAATCATAACTAACCACACGTTGTAGTATAAATTAAAAATTAATGTATGCTGACTACCATGAATTCAGTAAATGTATAACAATTGTCTGCAATTATTAACAGCTTGGCATTTTTTTGTTTCATGAGTATATCTTGTTATTTATAAGTACATATTTATTTCTATGAAAAAAAGTCGTTATATTGATCGCGATGGCTGTAAAAATATACATAAATCTATGTACATAGTTATAATTTTAATAAAATCACAAATAGATTCATACCTATAATGAATATTGATGTTTAAAAATGTATAAGACTGTGTTTTAAAATATTTTTATTTTTTCTCAAGTAAATAAAACTCTTTTTACAAACTATATAATATTAAGTACATTAAAAATTTAAATTAATTTTAAAAACTAGAGTTAATTCTAAGCATTTAGTACGATGTGGTCAAATGGTAATACTTTCCATAATCATAAAAGATTAAAAATTATTTCCTGTTTACAGGTCGGAGTGGTTAGATCATAATTTTTTTCTATGAAGAAATAACACATCGCTTAATTTTTTCATCAATCCAATATCTGTATATCTAATACTCACAGGGAAAAGTGAATTTTAATTAATATCACTTAAAATTTTACGAATTTGAACGCTGTACCAAACCGTATATTATGTATTATGGGTATTAGCGTTGGTCAAAAAAATGTCTTTTTTAAATTATTTTTTAGGATTCATTTTTGCAGGCATTCATGTTAAATTATTCTTCCATCATCGAAGGCAAAAGTTCAACGATAAGATATTATTTATATGTACCCTTATAATTCCAAGTTAACTGCTGAAAAATCAATGTCTAATAATAATATGAAGTATACATTATCTGAATACTAGTGGTGGAGAAAATCTAAATTTATCGAATTTCGAAAATTCGAATTTTCTGAATTCTGAAACTGAAATCTGGATTTTAGATTTTGAAAGATTGTATTAATATCCTTTATAGGTATTTTGAAATTTTACAAACTGCTCACTATTAATCTTAAGTGTCATTGTCGGATGAATACTATCAAAATATACAATCCTGATTTAGTTGTAAGTGATTTTTTTTTATTCAATAATAAATAAGTACAGGAAAATATAAAACATTTTCAATATAATCTAACTTTGAATACAAAATATTTTATCAAACCGTTAATATTAGCGGGCTTTTTATGTTCAATTTAGAAACTTTAAGAAAAACCTATTATAAAATAAATTCTACAAATAAATAAATAAAAAAATATATTAGGCATAACTTCTAAAATTAGAATTATTTGCTATGTTTAAAATATATAAGTTTGTAGGATTAGTAAGTATAAATTGTATACAAATAAAATTAATTTTTTTAATAAAACTGCAGAAATTTATAAACTTAAACCTGAAATCCGTAAATCTGAAAACTGGATTTTATAATCCAAATTCCAAATTTAGTAACCTAATATCTGAAATCTGGATATTTTGGAATTTCGGGTAATCCGTATTTACGTGATATCATTACTGAATATAATTGAAAATACGCCATTTGCTGTTGCAAAATTATTTTAACTGAAAAAAAAAATGAAACTGTATTACATTTAAGCTATTCTTTGGGCTCTGGCTTTTTTTATTGTAATCTTAAGACTTATATGCACACATTTTAGAGATACAAGTTTCATGTTGCATTGTTTGTTCAGTAAGAAAGTGGCGAAAAGCTTTAATTGTTTACAGCACACTAAAGATTACATTACACATTTAAACATTTAAGGGTTTGTGCTATTTGTGTTTTTAAAGTGTTTAACCATTACATACATTTTATCTTCATTTGGGTGAAAACGTATTAAGACTTTCATCAGTTGCTTACTCTACTTACTACTACTTGCTTACAATATGATATAATATTATATGTAAATTATTGAAATAATATATTACCAACAATAACTTGCATGTATAATTTAATACTACTTAAATACAAGGTCAAAAATGAATATCAAAAATTATTATTAATACTATTTATAACGAAATAATATTGGTATACCTAATATTATATAACTATACAAATATTTCAAATTATTAATACATATCCCTAATTATTACTTTAAATTATACATTTTTTAAATTGTTTTAATACAAAGCGCTTTAGTTAATTGTAATTTGTAAATTTGTAATAAACTATTAAAGTTAATCTTTTAATTTATAATTATATTGATTCTAGTGTTTAACATACTGAAATTAAAAAAAAAATATTTCTATCTAAAATTCGTTGACTCAAATTATTTTTTTTTTGTTAGTATTAAGTTATATCTTTTTTTTTTTTTTTTGTTAAAATTTTAAATTTATTATAGCTTTTAGCCCAAATTTGAATATCTTTGTTACCATCACTTCGTCAATATGCATCACTCTTGCATTATATTAACATATACAATACACATACACCTATTAATTAAACATAATGTGCTAAAATAGTTGTGTATGCATTAGATTTTAGTAAAATCCATTATAATGTAATAGGTAGCAATATTAATGCTTCAAGAAAATTACATAATGTTATGTATTATATTTCTTTGTTGGATATATTTGACGAGAAATTCGTTTTTTATCTATTGAATAAACTATTGAAATTAGAATCTATTAATAACATAATACGGTTTCAATGGTTCTATAACATTGTTATCGAATGAGCACATAAAAATGATTACACAGAATATGGTAGGTATATATGTAACATTAACGATCTGTATTGAAACCAATAGGTCCTTAATGCGATTTTTTCAAACCATAAAAAAAAACCAGGAAACTAGTTAACTTTTTATGTAGAAATACGAATACGTTATTTCAGCCGTCAATTGAAATGAAAACGAAGGGGTCTCGGAGTTTATAATGAGCAAAGTCTTTGTATGTATATATTTATACATACACCATAATAAGTTTAATATCCTCTTTATACCAATAGTTAATTTAAATATTTATAATGACTACGCGTATTGAAAATCAGGGCGAAAGAAAAGTGTTTTATAATAAATTTCAATAAAATGTATAATGTGTATCTTAAAAATTGGCAAATACTCATCATTGTTTATATTTTATTTTGAAATTTAGAAAATTAAAGTATGAGAAACGAGTCACAATTAAATTTTTTTGAAAATATAGTGCTGTATAAGTAGAAAACTCAAGTAAGTTGAAGTGAAAGTTTTTTATTTTTTAACAAAAATAATACAATT